GGGAGAAGTCCTGCTGGGATTTCTCCCGGCGTGGGGCGCCAGCAGCAGGCTGCGCCTGTGTGCTGGCGCGGGTTTGCCTGCGCCCTTGCTAATGCTCCTCCCCGAACAGACTTGGTGCGCAGAGTCTGTCTGTCTGTCTGTCTGTCTGTGTGTCTGTGTGTCTGTGTGTCTGTGTGTCTGTGTGTCTGTCTGTCTGTCTGTCTGTCTGTCTGTCTGTCTGTCTGTCTGTCTGTCTCTCTCTCTCTCTCTCTCTCTCTCTCTCTCTCTCTCTCTCTCTCTCTCTCTCACTCTCTCATTTTCTCTCCCTCGCGTGCAAGCCCAACTTGGTCGTCGACGAGCGCCGTGCTGCAGGGGGTGCAACTCACTGACCCAGTTCCCTATCCTATTCCACGAAACAACGAACGCCACTTCCACCGCGCTTAGCGTGTACAGGGATGGCGCCTGGGCGGCTGCTCATGGGACTCCACTAGCGGAGCTCCACTAGGGACTCAATTTGTGGACCATCGTTCGATGACCGCGAACTGTGAACTGCTACGCGCCTGGCCCATTCAAGAAAAAACTGCGCCGCTTGTTTGTTTCGTTTGTTGGCGTCGCGTTCATGGCGGGCGCGATTGAGCGCGTTGGAACGCGCGCGCGTACACCGCGGGCGCAGGAAGCACGTGCCCAATTGCAGCATCGTCCAACGCGAAATTCGCCGGGGGGCGGCGGAACTCGCACCTAATTGCGCCACGCTTGGAAATTATCAAAATCGCAGACGAGCGAGCAGTGCGACCGCGCGCACCCTCACACAAACCAACATTGATCATCGACGAATACCATGCTGCAGGGGAAGCAGCTCAATAATTCTGCGGCGTCCGAAGGCCACTAGATAGTGGCCTTCGGACGGAGTGGTCGATGAGGAATGTGCCAAATTTCAATTCCACCTCTTCCTCACCACAGCCTTCCTTCCCAAGGACGTCCACAGCCTTCCCAAAACACGCTAAGTGAGGCGAACTAGGTTCCACGCTAAGTGTAAGACACTTAGCGTGTATAGACATTTTTCCCAATACACGCTATACATAGATACCTGACCGTAATGTGGCCCGGCGGCGGCCCCGCAGAGGCCGAAGGTGGCTCCCGGCCGCCTGTCGTGGTCTTTCGGCGGCTCGTCCAGGGGGGCGGCGGAGCAGGCATGGGCCTTCTCAGCAGGCTCTGGAGGCCTCCCTCCCGCCTTCTGAAAACTTCCGCAGCCATGCCTTAGGTCGGGCATGTCCTCCTACAGGCGGATCTGGCGTGAAGCATTGGAATGTATTCAAAAGTGGTCCAAAAAATCGTCCCCAGACTATTGTTTGACTATTTGGGGAAATTCCTGCTGTAGAGGGACGTGCCCGACTTTAAGCCATGCCCGAGGCCACGGAAGACTTCTCAGCAGGCCAGAGGGCTTCCGAGAAGCCCCGCCGCCTGCTGAGAAAGCCTGGCCTGCCCCCTCTCGGACTTCCCCCCCCGGTGAGCCACCGATGTTGTGAAGGCCGTGCCGCCGACCCGAAGGCGGGACCTCCCCCAGGACCCTGGGGCCCCCTCCCGGGACCCCGGGAACCCAGGGCCAGGGCTGGGGCCGGCACCGGGGCCTGGGCCGGTGCACTTCCCCGAGGCATCCCATGTGGATTTCCTGAAGAATCCCAGGGCCAGGGCTGGGGCACCCAGGGCCAGGGCCGGTGCACTTCCCGAAGCATCCCATGTGGGCTTCCCAAAAAGGAGCCCTATGCATTGCCGGAGGACTTCGATGGATTTCGGGAGGATTCCTATATAAGGAGCTGCAGGGCCGAGGCCGGGGCCAGGGCCAGGGCCTTTTGCCACAGAGGGGGCCACCCCAGGGGAGCCCCCGAGGGCAGCAATCAAACCCAGCACCCCCCTCCTCCCCTCCTCCTCCCCCTCTCCCCTCCTCATCCTCCTCCTCCTCCTCCTCCTCCTCCTCCTCCTCCTCCTCCTCCTCCTCCTCCTCCTCCTCCTCCTCCTCCTCTTCATCCTCCCCCTCCTCCCCGCACCCCCCCGCCATAACCCCCACCCCCGGTCAGGGAAGGGAAGAAGGGAAGGGAGTCGACTCAACTACGACGTCTCTTTTCTCTTTTCGTTCCTCCATTTTCTCGGGACTGGCGACAACGACGACGACGACGACGACGACGACGACGACGACGACGTCAGCGTCTCACACGTGCCCCAGGGTCGGCGAGTATGTTTCACGACGCGAGGAGGCGGGGGCCCCTCCGAGCCGAGGCCGCGAGGCGCGAAGCGCGCGGCGCCACCTCCTCGCCCCGGGCGGGCAGCCCGGGACGAGAGCGATGCCACGATACGGCTGGTTCATAGTGCTGGATCTGGAAGGGGGGTTGTGGCCACTGTCGGCCTTCGTGGGGGTCCTCACTGGACCCCCCGGGCCGTCCAAGAACTGCCAGTCCCAGGGAAAGGGTCCAGACCACTGGGGGTCCACGGTGTCGGGCACGTTCCAGGAATTCCAGAATTCCTGGCTTCTGGAGCACATCATTGCCATGACTTCTTGCTCCTGCTAGACCACCTCAAGGGGAGACATTTTGGTATTTTTCAATCCGCGGCCCCTTAAAGAACCGACCGGTTCCCCAGGGCTAGTGTCCGTCCCAGATCCATGCTCGACGGTCCTGGAACCCAAAAGCGGGCCTCAGAGGCTGAAGTTCATGAAAAAACGCTGGTCGACAAAAATGATGCCGTCGGATCACTGTCACTGGGCCAAGCGCGACGACCACGACCACGACCACGACCACGACCACGACGACGACGACGACGACGACGCTGACGACGCTGACGACGACGACGACGACGACGACGACGACGAAGACGACGACGACGACGACCACGACGAAACCCATGGCTGAGCGGCCGAGCGCGCCGCCCGACGCGTGCTCCTGTCTCCGGGACACCCCCTATCGGCTCTCCGCCGGCCGCCCGTGGCCGATCCGAGGGCCACTCTCGGCGGCGCGCAGAGGGGGGCTGCCTCCTTTGCTATCCACTGCGACATTTGTTGTATAGAATTTGTCGACATCGCACTCATGTGGAATACAGTAGTGGTTAAAACCAGGCGTAAAGAAACATGTTGTAAATCTGGTCACATGAAACGGGGTTCTCATGCGTATATGTTTACCGGCCCCGTCCATTCCCCTCGGCCGGAGCCGAGCGACTCACCATTGACCGATCCCCTTAGTCAAACGATTAGGGGGAGGGTTCTTAGAAGCACCCCTGCTTCTTAGAAGGTGCGGGCCTTCTCTATAGGCGTAAGGCCGAGGCCTTCTAAGAAGCAGGGTGCTTCTAAGAAGCCTTCCCCCCTCCCCCTACCCCCTTTTGCGCGTCGCCAACGCTCCTCGCGGAGCGCCCCCGGAGCGATGCGCCGCCTCCTCGAGCTGCCCCGACGCCCTACGAGTTCCCCAGCGGCAACTTTCGTTGACGGTGCACCGCTGGCGCCCAGCAATTCAAACTACTACTCTGACACTACGACCTGCCTACGAAATGATTCGCGGCAAAAACTGAGAACAAGCGGGAACGAGCTCCGTTGATATCCCGCGGTGCCGGCTTCTCCCTTCTGCTTCCTGGGAAGCCGGCGGGGACGGACGGCGACGCCCGAGGAGACCTCGAAGCTCGAGCCGGAGGCCTCCCGCGTGAAGTCCGGACAGAGCGGGTCGGAGGATCGCGCCGGCATCGCCGATGCGTCGCCGATGCGTCGGCGATGCATCGGAGACGTCGGCGATGCGTCCGCGGCATTGGCGTTGAGAACATCGGGCTCCACACCGAGCCGCATCGCCGATGCGTCGGCGATGCGGCGCGATCCTCCGACCCCGTCTACCCTGACCTCATCTGAGAAGCCTAGAGCCTCGAACCTCCAACCTTCACAACGAGAAGCAGACATGCGACGTCCCCCGATGTTTCCATATGAGGTCCACGGAAGTCGCGACCCTTTCCCCGTGACTGGTTCTTCATCCTGAGTCGTTCTTCCCAGACCCCCCACGTCATGATTTTTCATAACGTCCACCCTCAGAGGTCTTGACCCATTCCCCTGGACCTGTTTTCCATCCTGAGTCGTTTTTTGACGGTCCCGAGGGCCGCTGAGGGCCTCCAGGGGCCGAAAACTAGGTAAAACCTCCTGTCATAATTTCTTCGTTACCCGAGGGGGTCTGGGTTCGACGGTCCCGGCCTCACAGTCTTGATTTCATCAGCACGCAAGCATGTCTGGGGAGAATATACGTGCGCGTTCCCCCACTCGCAAAGTAACTACTCGCAAATGGCCTAGACCCCCCGCGGGGGATCTACGATAAATTACATCGAAGCAGACATGTGTTTTTCGGACGCTTGCGACTAGGCACTTTGCCAGTAGTGGAACGCGCTCGGTGAGAGAGGGTGCTTCCCCACCCCCCCTGTCGGGCCGGGCGAAAGGGGGGGATAGCAAAGGGGGGGGGTCAGAATCGGCTCACGTAGCTGACTTGCCTGGCGCCTCCCGGCGCCGGGCGGCGCCCATGCGTCGAGACGTGGGCCCGGCGTCGGGGCCGAAACCAGCTGCATGCAGCAGATTTCTGGAGAGGCCCTGGGACACACAGACAAAGCCACACAGAGAAAGGGACCGCCCATCTCCTACCGCAAGTCTCCTGGGCCTCTCGCCCTCCCCCCCCCCAGCTCCCATAATTATCTTCCCGCACTTTCTTTCTGGGGAAGCGACGGCTCGTTGTGTCTGTGTGTGTGTTCTTCCCCTCCTGAACTTCGCAACCCCCCCTTCCCCTGCCTAAAACAGGGCTAGGATCGGGATAAATCGCTCCAGAGCGTTCCGGAGCGCTCTCAGAGCGTTCCGGAACGCTCTGGAGCGGCCGCGGCGCCCAATACATCCCCCAAACCCGCCGATTCTCAGAGATTTCGAGTTATCCCGATCCGACTTTGTCCCGATCTTCGCGTCGTTTTACTGCCCCCCCCCGCGCGTTCGGCCCCACCCTGGCGGGGCGGCGGGGGGCGCGCCGCCCGATGGAGTGGCGGCCGCCGGGCGGGTCGCGCCAGCAGCCCTGCACCTGCCGCGCGCGGGGGGGCCCGTGGGCGGCCGCCGCCCGGCCGGCCAGTGGCGGCGCCAGGCTTCGGTCGGGCAGGTCCTCTCTCGGCTACGCGCAAGAGTGACCCTGGGTAAGAGTGGGCATTTTGGGGGCATTTTTTATGTCTTTTTCATCTTTCGTCCAAAATCACCCTGCATAGGGGGGCAGGCCCGACCTGAGGCCATGGCTCGGCTCTCTCTGGCGGCCGTGCGGGGCGATAGCTGTCAGCGGCACCGTAAAAAGGGTACTCACTCACGGGTGCTCTGGAAAGTTGCCGAAGGACGCCAGTTTAGGGCCTCTTTCTGGCATTTCGGCTACACGCAAGAGTGACCCTGGGTAAGAGTGACCTTTGGTGCGCGGCTTTTTGGGGGCCGCGTGGGGACCAAACCTGGGCACGCAAGCCGTTGCTCCTGCTTCGTTTTCAGCCATCTGGGGGCCCATCTGTGCCCGCACCAAAGGTCACTCCGGCGAAAGGTCACTCTTACGTCCAGTCGACTTGCGGGCGGATGCTGGACGAAAATTACAGATCAGCCCCCAAACAATACACCAGAAATGCCCGAACATGGGCGAAGGAGAACGCCAAAACTGCCCAAGCATGGGTGTGGCCTGCACGGGGGCGCTCCTCCAGTCCAGGGTTAGGGGAGCTCGGGGCAGAGGCGGTAGGCTCCACCGGTGCGACCACCGAGAGCCCGAGCCCGTGCCCGGAGCTGGGGCGCGAGCCCGAGCCCGAAGCCCGAGCGCTAACCCAAAGCCCGAGCCCGAGCCCGAGCCCGAAGCTAGAGCCACATCGCGACACCAAGAGCCACAGGTCCTCCTACGGGCGGATGTTGGACGAAAGCTACAAAACGGTGCAAACAATACACCAAAAATGCCCAAACATGGGCGAAGAATCGTCCCCAGGCTGTTCTTCTGGCAATTTTTGAAGGCTCCTCCTGTAGAGGGGCGCCCGACTTGACACCAGGTTCGAGCTTCGAGGTTTTCGGGCTCGAGGTTCGAGGTCATCGGGCGTCGCCGTCGGTTCCTGGAGGTCCTCCAACCTCGGGGTGTGCGTTCCAACAGCTGCGCTTCCCGCGGGCGTTCCAGGAGTGCACAGATTCAGCGCCTCTCTAACGGGGACTCCACTAACGGGTACTTTGGCCAGTAACCCGACTAACCCCACCCTCCCCGATGTGGGCGACGCTGCAATGCCAGAAAGAGGCCCTAAACTGGCATCCTTCGGCAACTTTCCAAAGCACCCATGAGTGAGTACCCTTTACGGTGCCGCTGACAGATACCGCCCCGCACGGCCGCCGGAGAGAGCCGAGTCGTGGCCTCAGGTCGGGCCTGTCCCCCTACAGGGTGATTTTGGACGAAAAACATAAATTATCCCGGTAAAGCAACCTAACAGCGATGTGTAGGAGCATATCTGGAAGCATTCCCCTTAAGATTCAGATGAGAATCCAGTTGTAGAATTCTGTTGTTCTCGCAGGCGTAGTCGCATTCGCGATGACAGTCGCAGCGGCAACGGCAGTCGCAGTCACAGCCTCAGCCTGCCTCAGCCTCAGCCTCAGCCTCAGCCTGCCTCAGCCTCAGCCTCGGCCTGCCTCAGCCTCAGCCTCAGTCTGCCTTCAGCCTCGGCCTCAGCCTCAGCCTGCCTCAGCCTCAGCCTGCATCAGCCTCAGCCTCAGCCTCAGCCTGCCTCAGCATCAGCCTGCCTCAGCCTCAGCCTCAGCCCCAGCCTCAGCCTCAGCCTCAGTCTGCTTCAGCCTCAGCCTCAGTCTGCCTTCAGCCTCGGCCTCAGCATCAGCCTGCCTCAGCCTCAGCATTCAAAATGTGGCCCGGGAGTGGAGTTCTGGGAGGTCGAAGAGCACGAAATGTGTGACCGTTGGCTTAAAACGAGCCCGGCTCTGTTCCCGGCCCTCCTCCCCGGCACCCGCCCAGACCCCCCTGTGGAGTCCAGATGCTCTCTTTTGACACCACTAGAAACCTATCAGCAAAAGCTGTTAGGTAAAAAAAAAAAAGAAGGCCCCAAAAGATGCCCAAAGATAATCAAAAAAATAGTCCCCAGACTGTTTTTGGACTGTTTTGTGCCCCAAAAACAATCCAAAAATGATCTGGGGACTATTTTTTTAGTATTTGTGTTGCACCTTTGGGGCATTTTTGGTGCATTTTTTGATCTTCGTCCAAAATCACCCTGCAGAGGGACAGGCCCGACTTGAAAAACCAGGCCTCGGCCGCCTCGAGCAAGATAACACGAGGGGGCCGCCCTCCGCAGCGCTCGGCCGCCCGGGGGGCGCCCGCGGAGGCCCCGGGCGCCGCCCGCAGACGAGGCACGCCATCGGGAGGAGAGGTCGGCCCCGGCTCGGGGAGACGTAAGACTCGGGTACTGCAGGTTCGTGCCGTGTCGACCCTGGCGTTGGTTCCTGACACCGCGCTGGATCGTTCAACCTTGAACGATCGGCCGTCTCCGCAACGTCCGATCGTTCAACATCGACCGATTCTGGGCCGCCGTCGGCGTTCAACCTTGAACGTCGGCGGCGGGGTCGCCGCCGGTCGACACGACGCGAACCTACCGTACGGGGGACTCGCGCTGTCGGGGATGGACAGACCTCCCTTTAGTAAAGCGTGGTTTAATAAAAAACGACCTGAGGCCCAAACCTGGCGGGCGCGAGCCTGGAAAATAACGGCCGCGGCGCCCTCTCGAGAACCGAAAACGGACAATTCACTAATCGACGTGTCACTGTTGGGGGTTCTGTCCACCCCCGACGCTGGCCCGACGGGGCCATCATAAAAATGGCGAGGCCCAATCCGAAATTTGGCGCGAGCTCCCGCTGCAGACATCCCACGAAAACCAGACCGTCAAGAACCAGGACGCGCTCGTCAAGAAAACGTCGGCAAACCCGAGTTCCGGCTTACTCGGGTCTTGCGTTCCCCCGACTGGAGGAGTGCTCGAGAGGCCGGGGGCAAAAAACTGAGCAGGGGCCGACCGTCCCAGCATTCCTGTAGTCATACCACGAGATGTCCCCAGAACCCAAGAGTGTTCTGAGAACAAAAAATACGGTTCTTGGAACATAAACCCGATGTGATAAAACAGGACAGGCTCCGCCATAATTGTTCTAAGAAGGTTCTCAGAACATTGTTTGGTAGGGCTATGGGCGAGCCAGGACGCTTCGCCACTGCTTGATTTAAAAGCCGAGACGCTGGACTTCTCAGTCACCCCGCGTCACGTCTTCACTCGCGCCGGCGCCGTCCGGGAATGAGCCGCCTTCCCAGACGGCGCCGGCGCGACTCGCGACGTGACCGGCCCCCTCCCCCCCACGCTCACCCCCGTCATCGCAAGAGGGCATATAAACTGTCTTCGAAGGCTTTCCAGACATTCGGCGGTGGACAAACGTCCCTTTAGCGAAAACGGCCTAGGACCGAAACCCACGGACCTGGCCCCGCAAAAATGGCGGACGCGACACCCTCGCGCGAACCGAAAACGGCCGATTCGCTAATCGACGTGTCAGGGTAGGAGCTCTATCAGCCTCCGAGACGTACCCGCGTTGGGCGTGGCTTAATGGGGGGGTCACAAATGGGGGGGTCAGAAAAGGTCCCCTTTCGTGCCCCTTTCGGGCCCCTCCAGAGCCCCAGGGGGCTCGTTTAGGTACCGTTTGGGTACCTTTTCGGGCCACCCTCGCCGCCCCCCCATTTATGACCCCCCCATTACGCGGCGCCCAACCGCGTCGTGAAGAAAACACGCCGGGAGGTGTTCGGCCGTCCTCGGCCTCCGGTGGCCTCCGCTGGGCCCTCGGGCCCTCCCAGGACGGCTCGCGATGAGAAAAGCCGGCCCCAGGGGAAGGGCCCCTTGACTCCAGGGACCGCGCATGGAAAAGAGCAAGACGAGGGAACCGAACTCTACTCCAGATTTCGTAATAAAAGGGAGGGGGTCTGGACCCTCCAAGACAAGCCATTTCAGACCCCCCCCCGTGGGAGAACCCTCCAAAACATCGCCCCCAGACCCCCCCAGGCCCTCCAAGATAGCTTGGAAAAGACCCCCCCCGACATGAGACCCCCCTCCCTTTATTACGAAATCTGGAGTACACACCGACGCCTTTGTCTGGCCTCACACTGACTCTCGCACGGGAGAGCGGGTCCTGATGTATACGGGATCCTGGTGTATACATTCTTCGTTGTTTCCCCGCGAACACCACACCACCCCGACGTCGTCCCCGACCCTCAAAAAAATCCTGGGATTGAAAAACCGCCCGCCACTGGTAACGTATATGCTCAAGTTTCCGAGCAAGACCTCGCATGTCTGGGGAGCCACCGTTTGTTCAGGGCTCAACGACTTCTACCGTCCATCGGCTCGCGCTGGAGCGGCCATGATTTGCTCCAGGTTTCCCTGGAGATCTCTGGATTTGCCTGGTCCTGTCAAGATTTGCCTCGATCCATCTGGACTTGCGTCGATCTAATCTGGGCTGGACCCCGCAAGTCGATTATGAAAAGTCGGCAAGCCCTCAGGGAACCGACCCAAATCTCCGCCCATGCGCTTTTTCAAGCCCGGCATGTTTCATCGATGTCTCGAGGTCTGGGCGTCGCAACTTTGTCACGCTGGGAGTGTTCATCGCCGGGTTTCGGGCCCTGGGGGCTCTTGAAGCGCTCCTGGGCCGTCTTCGGGCCCTCTTGGACCTCCCCGACGCCGTCTTGGAGGTATCTTGGGCGCTTTGGGGGCTGTCTTGAGCCGACTTGGGGGCCTCTTCGGCGCTCTTGGCGCTGACTTGAGCCGTCTTGGGCCAAAAATTGCAGAAATTAATGTCATTTCCATGCAATTTCCCTGTCAACGGTCGCCTTTCCATGTTGACGGCTCCGTTGACAAGAAAAAGGGCATTAGATCCCTGGGGGACGGGATGCCACCCCCCTCGAACTCCCCCTAATTTCATTCCTTCCGACTAACGGATCGAAAACTACGCGCGCTTTCCGTCATCTGGGTGTGGCTACCTACCCCCCAACACCGCCCCTTG